GTTGGCCGCAATATATAAACTCTGCTTTGCTGTAAATGTTATAAATTGTAAGTGTTAAATGATATACATCTGTGGTATATTCAACTTGTGTAATTATGTAAGGAACATTTTATTGTATTAAAAGTCTCGCCTCTGTTTTAATATTGTATTATTACGGTGGCCCATAAGTGTCACGGCAACAACTTTCGAAATGTCACGGCCACATTTTCGAAATTCATGGCAATAACTTTCGAAACCACACGGCACACTTTAAAAAGTCACGGCATACTTTTAAAATTCACCGCACACTTTTAAAAACCACGGCACATTTTCAAAATTCACTGCACACTTTATAAACCCACGGCACACTTTCAAAATTCACAGCAACATTTTTTGAAATGTCACGTCAAACTTTTAAAATCACAACTTCCGTGGAAAGTACAACTTCCGCCGTGAGATTCACGGCGGTCCAAGTGATTGTCTCACGGTGGAAGTGATAGAAATTTAAATTCTTAAAACTTTTTGGCCGCCGGTGGGAACATGGGAGTTGCTAAAATACAACCACTTCAGCCTGGGCTGCATAAGTCGGACTAGGAGACATAGCCGATGCCCAGTCCATCTACCCGGTCACACTGTAGTACTGTAGGCCTCATTCTCTTTTACGTTAAGCTAGGCCTATACAGAGTATGGCCCCTGGCCTAGGCCCCTCTCTCTATGCCTGGCTAATAAATAACTTTTATGCAATTACATTACAATACAGGTGACATGGGAAAAGTTAATATCATTGATTATTATTAACTTTCCGTCACCCTTTTTTTTCTCATTAGGATGAGTTCGATCACCCAGTTGGTCAAATTTGCCTTTGCGTACGGTTTGATAATCCCTTATCTCGTCGATGCGAATTCAACAGCTGGTCATTAAAGCGTGCGGCCTGTACCACTGTAAAATAGGGGTATTTATTATTAGGCTAGAGAGTAGTAATTTCTTCAATTTATTAATATTATATCATATTAATAGTTAGGGCCTAGGCCTGTACATTTTTAACAGTCCAGAAATATGCCCATTCATTAACATTACAGATGTTTCTACTACACACACTGTACAGCCTAGCTAGCATGCCCCATTGAAAATGGTGTAGTCTGATTATCAGAAAGTGAACCGGAGGAGAATATGTGGGCCTAGCGTAATATCGCCATTTATAAATTGCCATAACTTCCATATTTCGTAGGTAAATACATTAAAATTTATACCAATATGTTCACCTCTACATGCACAAACTAAAAATCAAACTTATATCTCAAGGTACAGTAAATAAAACTATAAATTATACCTCCAAGGTGAAGCTAGTTCTGCACGAAAATCCCGTGAATTCTCCAAGCATTGGCTTTTAAACTGACTTGCTATTGGTAGATTTTTATAAAAATAAAAAGTCCGACGCCATTTATTAACCAATCTAATTGATTTTTACATATGTTGTAGTTAATAAATAAAGCTACAGATTGCCACAACAATGCCGAAAATCGGCCCTATATTAGTGGACATACGACAAAAACTTCGGGCGATTCGCCACATTTCGACTAAAATCGTAGGTTGCATTGATGATATTCCAGGGATCCTAATTTTAAAAAAAAAGAAACAAAAACAAAAAACAAAAAACAGGGACATAGACTAGCTGACTTATAATTTTGTCTTACTGTTTGTACGGTACTGTATCTTGCTATGTCGTGTGATTACCAGCCCCCTCCCCCTTCTTTTTTAAAACTAAAACAACCACTTCACTGGCTATTTATGGTGACGACACGACAAGCATAATTTCAGCTGTACTACGTATTAATTTATTCCTAATCTTCAAGACAAAGAGTGGGCCCTGGTAAACATTAAGTTTTGACTTATGATCGTTTTTTATTTTTTGACCGATTTAAAAAAAATATTGCTTGGACTATGCAGAATATGTTGTAAGACCCTGGCCTAGGCACTAGGAGGCCTGGCTACTGGAGAATCATGTACTGAATATTAATTATTATTTAATAAATAACTTTTATACAATTACAGTACAATACAGACATATGAGAAAGGTAATATTTAATTGAATTATTATTTATTAGCTTTCTGTCACCCTTTTTTTTCTGGAATATACTTGTAGCTATGGCAATTTTTTTTTAAATCAGTACAAAAATAAAAACGATCATAAGCTTATCATTTTGTTTCATTGCTTTTAAACAAAATTGCCATGACATAGGCCTAGAAAAGGGTGACGGAAAGTTAATAATAATTAATGATATTAACTTTTCCCATGTCTGTATTGTAATTGCATAAAAGTTATTTATTAAATAATAATTCAGTACAATTCAGTAGCCAGGCATAGAGAGAAGGGGCCTAGGCCAGGGTCATATTCTGCATAGGCCTAGCTTAACGTGAAAGAGAATGTTCGCCTAGCAGTCGTGTGAGCAGGTAGCTGGACTGGGCAATGTCCGACCTATGTAGCCCAGGCTGTAGTGGTTGTATTTTAACAACTCACATGTTCCCACCGGCAGCCAAAAGTTTTTAAAATTTATATTTCTGGCTACGGTCACACTAGCGTCTCAATCATGGCCGGCGGAAGCG